CTACTATTATTTTTAAGGATCAAATGAGCAAGGTGTGTGTTATAAGATATGACCAAAAAAGAAAAAGAATAAACCCACTTTTCAAAACTTGGTATTTAAGGACATCCATAGCTAACTTTACTAAATGCTAGTTCTAATTACATACCTTACCTTAAAACCAGTATATCTAAAAAAATTAATAGATGGTACCTTAAAAAGTTCAATTGATATAATTTTTAAAAGGGTTTTTCAATAACATAGAATAAGGGTGTAATAAATATATTTTTTTTTAAATTAATTTCTATTGAAAGTATAAAAAATGGTTTCAGTTTAATCAATTATTCAATTAAATTCATTGACGTGTTAGTGGTATTAATAAATGTTAATTTTTTATAATTATTTATGTAAATTAATTACAAAAAAAATATATTTATTACACTATTAATCTATGTCATTGTTGAGGGATAGATCTATATGGCCTTGAAATTAATGACATGTATGGGTCCACATCAACAAGGGTCCACGCAACTTACTTTCCACATCAGACATGTTATTCTTGTTTTTTGTTGATTACTACAACAGAGTCAACATCGTCGAAAACGACATTTGTCTATTTCGCTGGAAACAATGCAAAACGCAACCCACCCCAGCAATCATTTTTTATATACATGGTCAGACATGGCTAAATTTATTCCCACGACATGGTTGGACATTTTTGACAGTTATGTCGCTTGCAACGATATTCATTGCTAACTTTTATGGCTCCCAACAATGGACAAAGGGCCACATTCATTATCTTATTTTGCCTCTAGCAATGGATAAAAGGCTACACATCTCTACATATTCTATCTCACTGGCTCTCAAAAATGGATAAAGTCAACACAACTTGGTACGATCAGTGTGAGGTTGGTAACAATTGCAATCCTGCGATTGGATGGAATGGCTACTCTCCAACAATAAAAATCCATCAAGCAGCGACCGGTGATCCCTTGGTGGTTGCTCGTGCATGGTGGTGTGATGTCCGACAAGCAACAACAACTAGAACCTCCCTCGACGGTGTGGATACAGTAAGAAGGGTCAGTGTTTGTTAATGGTATCATATCTTGTCGTATCAGAGCCATGGATGTGGCTAGCATCCCCTTTCCATGAGACAACTCCACCTCTCTCTATCACATGTTCATCGCTAGTGGAAGTGTTCTTCCAATTCTACATAGTTCACACTCCAGCCATGGGCAAAACTAGTCACTATTGTCCCTCTAGCTATAGGGAAGCTATTCATGGCTAACCTAACAATATCTACATGGCTCACTGCCACGCACATCATTATTTTCTCACACAAAGGGACAAAATTATTAGTCGTTGATAATCCCGACTTATAACATAAATCTTCTATGCTTTATGTGTTAGTAGGTATCATTGACCAACAATGCTTGGCTTGGGACAACGATATCACAACACAAATCCATACCGCCTCTTCTTTGTCTTGGCGTCATGCCAGCCATACATAATAACATCATGCAAGTATCTGCCATGGCCAACAAGTAAAAGCGTGCAGTAAACATTCATCCCCATCATCCCCCTTAATACACAAGGGAGTATCCTTCTTCGCTACATATGTCCATACATTTTACACTTAAATATTTAAATATATACTCATTTTTATCTTACTTTCATTGCAGATGAACCTAAGTCCATGAATCCAAGCTCATGAAAATTACTCAGGATAAACTATGTGAGTAATGGCTTGGCAAGCATGGATGGGTGAACGTTGTTTGTCTAGCGAAGTAAGGTATTTTCACCAATGAAGCTTGGTGCTGGCAATGTTGCCTGACTTCGCCAGAAAGGGTTGGGTGGCAAAGATGTGAAAGTGGACTTGATTCCCAAAACAATACCATTTCATGCTAACCAGAGGCTTAAAACTTGTTAAAAACTAACTTAAGATGTTGTTTTGGTCACCATCAACAAGTTGCAGCCATATTTAATGCAAGGGTGGCTGCACAAGTTTCATAGCCTTGGAAACTGCTAAAAAGATTAATGTTTGCTTGTGAAATCTTCCAAAAATTCTACGCAGACCCTGGGGACTCCACCAAAATCTTGTGCAAGTGTTGTTTTCATCAGCTGCACTCAAGCACCTCCCCCAAAAATGGGATTTCGTATGGTTGGAGGAATTACCAGAAATATTCAATTTCCAGTTCTTCACTAGAATAAGTGAAGCTTCCCTAGAACTAGTGAAGCTTCACTGGAACCAGTAGGCAATTCATGATGCCACTGTCAAAGAATTGTCAACAGTGTCTTGAGCCACTAGAAGCTTGACAGCTCATCCAAACCTACATATTAGCCACTGTACAACCTGAAAATTATAAAAATGCCACTACACATGTATACATTATTTTCCTCTCAGTTTTTAGAAAATGGAAGAATAAGGACCTTTCACGATTTTCTAGCTTCTTGTGCACCAGACCTCCAGTTTCCCTCTAAAAAATTTTCGGTCTGCAACCCCTTATTTTACATGCCAAAACCTCCAGAAATTGCTACTTACTTCATTATTTCCTACACACCCAACACTGTGTAATAATTTCCAACATTGTAGCTCACCATGGTTAGAAGATAGCATGCTTCACTTTCAACTTCTAGGTAACTTTTCTTGAGCATCAAAGGATCAATTTGCACGGTTAGCATAAAAAATGGGATCAAGCATTCTACTTGAAAGCCCTCAAGTGGCCATCCTTCCTTCTCCCACACCACTTTCAAGTTTATCCTTTTTTATCTCAAAAGAATTTTAGAAGAGAGATTGTTATATTTCCCATTCATAATATAAGAGTTGCTCATTATAGAGTGAGGATATTTACTAGAGATTATAAAGGTCACATTTATTGTCATTATTATCACATTGCAATACTTTATGTATAAATGTGCTTCTTGAGTTGTAATCTTTGACCCTCATGTATCTTCCGTTCATGCTACCCTTATCATGACATCTATTTCCTCGTTACCTTTTTGTTAGTTGTGTAATCATCCTTGGTTCTTGGGATTCTATCATTTTCTGTTCAGCCCTCCTCTTCTTAGCTTGGCTGGAGAATTTATGTTTAGCGACTTCGCTAGGGAATCTGTTGTCAACCATCACCGCTGGGTAGAACAAGATGGCCTGTGGCATGTAGCTTTCAACATGTGAAATGGGTGCTACTAAAAGAGCCCTCCTTGTTCCTCTAAGGGTGGTATCCAAGTCGACCTCCACGCCATCTTCACTATTGACTCATCATCTTGCATCACCAACACATCCCCAACAATCATTAAGGGCACAGGTTAGATAAAATAATTAAAGTTAATGACATAGAATAAGGGTGTAATAAATGTATTTTTATACAACTAATTTCTAGTGAAAATGTAAAGGTTGATTTCAGTTTGTTCAATTAATCAATTAAAGTTATTGATGTACTAGTAGTATTAAAATATATGTCAATTTTTTATAATTTTTTATGTAAATTAATTAAAAAAATATTTTTATTATACTATTAATCTATATCATTAAAGGCACAAGTTAAATAAAATCTTTTTAAAATGAAGATGTGAACTACTTCAGGTATTCTTTATGATACTTAATTCCCAAGAAAATTAGAACATCAAAAAAAGAAAATTCCAAAATTAACACTAAATAGAATCTAACTTGCGTTGAATGCGGCGGATTATGACTTAAAGAGGGTTTGCTATTAATTAAGAGATTGTCTAATAAAAAATTAGTTTGCCAAAGAAAAATGTTATGTGCATAAATTAATTAACCATAAAATATCCTGATTGAATAAAAATCAGAGTCATAGGACTTGGTTTATATTAGATTAGTTTAATGCTTAAAGGCTATATTATAGTAGTATATCTTCCTTAAATGAGTGTATGCCTTTCAACTTTATGTGGTCATTGTTTTTACATTTTAATGGTCGGCTTGTATGACTATGATAGACAATTATGGTTAGTTTTAAAGGCATAAAGTTGAAAGTTTCAACTAACAAATTAATATAAAAAATACATCATTTCAGAGTGTTGTTATTTATTTAATCTAGTTTAATTTATCAAGTTTTGTACTTTTATCTATAAGAAATTTTTTAATATTAAAATTTAGTTAATCAATATTGTAAATTAAAGTTTAAATTATGAATTTTAATAGTAAATTAAAATTTTTATATTAGTATGTGAAACTTTTTTTTGGTAAAAATATGCAAATAAATTAATTATATTAAATTGGATAGACAAATCATGGCTTTGTTTTTATGGCGACAAATCTTGGCATTTATAAGGTAGAAGGGTTTGAAATTCTCCAAATGAAGTACACAGTCAAACGTGAGCATTTATAAGGTAGAAGGGTTTGAAATTCTCCAAAT